TTTGCCCCACTTGATATTCAAAGTTGCTTCGGGTTAATGCAAATTTTCTTCCCAGGATACAACAGAAAATGAAAATTCCAGTAAGCAAATCTGGAATTTTCCTTAATTCGTTGTGAAACAAGTTTGTAATATTGCAGAAGTTTTTGATAGAAAAGATTCAGAAAAGAATTGTATTTAAATATATGAAAACATGAACTATTTATAGGTTTTGAAAAGGTGCTTCCAACAGTCACAACTTTTCAAAAACACCCCTTGGAGCAAACAGCCATTTTTCAACAGTCACTTGTCTTTTCATAATTTTTTAAAATTCAAAATAACATTAAATATTATATTCAATGTATAATTATATATATATATATAAAATAGAACATTTAAGCGGCAGCGGCAAGCGTGCTAAGTGCTAAGTGCTAAGTGCGTCTAATAATCGCGCATTATTCGCGCTACCCGCACGCGGGTTTAGAAGCCTACACTTTGATCCATTATTCAAAGCCCAATAAGCATTCAATGCTTTTAAACCTCTAAAAGAATGCTCAAAATTCCGATGTGGGACTATCTTATTTTTTTACAAACAAATACTAACAATCCCCCACTTTGTTTGAAAAAACATTTTAATAGTATTATATTTAAAAATAATCTGCAATATGTACAAAATGAGATAAGTATACATATGTAGAGGTATCTTTCGATTTAAACCTTTACTTAGTACAAATACCTCAAAGTTCTATCAAAGTCGTTAGTTGCCTTAACATTAAACTAATTACTCTTTGTGATAGAACCGGAGAATATTGTACATACACTAATCTCTTGTTTCAATGAGAATTAATATTTTAGCACTGTTATGGCCTTGTGCTTATTCCTGGTTCATGAACTCTTTAAAGAACAAACCTTTAGTTCTTTTAAGAAGCGGCACCACTTCTAAGTTCATATAGGTGAAACGTCTACAATGTGTTTTCCATTACTTTAAACACACAACAATAATGTATTAGACTTTCATTAAGAGCATAACTCATCCTCTTATTCCGTAATGGACGATATTGACATTATCTTTTAGGGCTTAATGCGTCAATATCAATCAATCACTTTCAGAAACTTGTTATTACCCATTTAAACCATTTAACCAGTTTAGTTCTAGTAAATGGTTGGGTTACCATTCCTGGTGATTTTAAATATAAGGTTTCAGCCCCATTTCACTTGATGTCATCTTTACTACCTCTCTTGCTAGAGGTTTTGTAAATGGATCAGCCAAATTTTTATTTGTCTTGACATAGACAATAGTTATGACACTATCTTGTATCAAGTGTCTCACATATTCATGTCTTAGACTTATGTGTCTAGACTTACCATTATATGTACAATTATAAGCCCTTGACAAAGTGGCTTGACTATCACAATAGATAGAGATAGGAGGCATTGGACTCGGCCATAACTTAATATCTAGCAATAAGTTCCTAATCCATTCAGCCTCTTTACCAGTTGCTGCTAAAGCAATGAATTCAGATTCCATGGTGGAGTGTGAGATACATGTTTGTTTCTTGCTTGCCCAAGAAACTGCTCCTCCACCAAGTGTAAAAACCATTCCAGAAGTGGATTGGTTGTCTCCAACACTAGTCATCCAGCTTGCATCGGTGTATCCCTCTAATACAGCCGGATAATCATTATAGAACAAACACAGATTTTTGGTTTTCTTTAAATATCCAAAAATCCTGGAAATGCTTTTCCAATGTTCTACACTTGGATTACTAGTGTATCTACTTAATTTGCATACAGCAAATGCAATATCAGGTCTAGTACAATGCATGGCATACATTAAAGAACCAATTGCACTAGCATACTCAAGCTGTGCTACAGTTCTACCAGAATTTGCAGTCAATTTGACACTGGGATCAAAAGGAGTGTTAACTTCTTTAAAACCAATATGATTAAATTTATTCACTATTTTTTCAATATAATGTGATTGGCTTAAAGAAAAACCCCCACTATGTTTTCTAACTTTGATCCCTAAAATAGTATCCGCTTCTCCTAAATCTTTCATTTTAAACATAGAAGATAGATACTCTTTAGTCTCATTTATACCAATCATATTAGTGCGGAATATTAACATGTCATCCACATACAAGCAGACAAGCACACCATATTTATCAGTGAGTTTAGAATAAATATACTTATCAGCACTATTATGTTTGAAACCATAAGATAGAATAACAGAATCAAACTTTTCATGCCATTGTTACCATAAGATAGAATAACAGAATCAAACTTTTCATGCCATTGTTTTGGTGCTTGTTTAAGACCATAAAGAGATTTAATTAGTTTACATACTTTTCTTTCATTTCCTGGAAGAATGAAACCTTCCGGTTGTTCCATGTAAACCTCCTCATTTAAATCTCCATTTAAAAAAGCAGTCTTGACATCCATTTGATGCACAAATAACTTATGTATAGATGCCAAAGCAATAAGAATTCTAATAGATGTTATACGTGCGACAAGTGCATATGTATCAAAATAATCTATGCCTTCTTTTTGTCTAAACCCTTTGGCTACTAATCTAGCCTTAAAAGCTTGAACAGAACCATCAGAATGATATTTTCTTCTAAAAACCCATTTACATCCAAAATAAGGGAAAATTGTTTGGAGGAACCAAAATAAGTTGATCCATGCATCCTCACCCCTAGCGTATTAGGAAACAAAAATACATCAGGATGTTACAATCCCAACCCATCATCTCATTTTCCTTCGTAGAACCAATCTACAACAATGTGCAGTACAAACAATGAACTCAAAACTCAAATTTCCTTCGCTAGCCACACCCACACCTGCATACACTAAACCCACAGAAGATAAAATAAGGATAAAGCCCATGCCAAGCTCCGATTGAACTCTTGAGGATAAATTGCAATAGCAAAAAAGAAACGTTGTCCTGGAATCGCAAGAAAACTAGAACTACTTCCAAATATTTAAGAGTTAATCCAAACAAGCACAAGAAAAGATGAAACAAGACTCGGCGGAGACCAAAGAACAATTCCGCAACACAGAAGAAAATATGAGATGACAATTCCAGTAGACATATATCATACTAATCAAGACACTTAATTTCAAAAGTCGACTTTATATTACAAAAACTACTACCCACCATGATGCCGGTGAGGCGGAGGAAGGGGGGCCCGCCGGGGCGGAGGGCGAGGGCCTGGATGAGGGCCGGCCACTGGAGGCCGTGCATGAGGTTGAAGTCGATGACGTGGACGCAGTCGTGGCCGTCGAAGGCCTCGAGGATGGCTTGGTTGGCGGTGAAGTGGGCGAACTTGAGGTAGGGGCAGGCCTCGTAGAAGTGGTGGTAGAGGATCTCGAAGTCCGACTGGGAGGGCCGGGGATCTGGGGAGGAGTAGATCCGACGGCTGAGGGCGTCGACGAAGCAGCCGGCGACCTTCCCGATGCCGAAGGAGGTGCCGACGCGTGTCAGGAGGGGGCGCATCTCGTCGAGGAGGGAGAGGGCGAGGCCCGGGTCCCCGCGCTGGACGGAGTCGGCGCAGGTCATGAGGAGGTGGACCAGCCGGATGCCGTGGTCCTCCTCGTCCTCCAGCTGGACGATCGGGAGCTGAGGCGGCGCCCCTTGCGGGGCCCACGTGGAGGAGGAGGCGGAGGCGGAGGAGGCGGATGAGGGGGAAGGGGGAGGTCTTTGCCCAGATTTTAGGAAGAAGAAATTGATTGTGTTTTAAATGGGGAAGAAGGGTAATTTGGGAATTTTTTTCTTGGGCAGTGGGTTTGGGGCTTGGTTGCACTCTTTTTTCAATTTTAGGACTTGGGGGTTAGAGTTTTGGGGCTGGGGAGGAGGATGATTGAGCCAATTTTTTTTGGTTCATCTAAGCAATTTTCCCTTGATTAAATCCATGAACCGGATAGTTTCCAAATCAATTTGAGGACAACACGAGGATTCATATGCATTTGGCCCCACAAAACAACCAACCACTCGGAAAAAGAAGACGCCATAAATACACCAATTTCGGCAGTAAAATAAAAAGACCCCGGCCCACACTTTCTGATCACATTAACAAGTCTCCATCAACTCCAGTGGGAATTAAAGTACAAACCGAGCTCGCAAGGTTGAAGCGTAAAAATGAGCAAGATCGATGGGATGATCAGCATCATGTGCCGGATCTCGCCTCGTTTTCAAAGTGAGCAAGAGGTGCACCCCATATTGGCCCTTACCCAATACAATCAGAGGAAGAGGTGCACCCCATATTGGCCCTTACCCAATTAAACCTTGGGAGCTCGTAATTGATTCAGACCAACTACACAGCTCTTCTACATGTATCAAGTTTATTTGCATTTTGTCAAAAGAAAAATAAAATCATATAATATGCTAATGCCCCAATTGTTTATGATAAATTACAAAGTCATTTTCTGATATATAATGTACTAAATCAGAAAATATTTAATCAAATAGTTGTGCGTCACATTCACTATAAGGATTGATAAAACATAGCTATATAAGATTAGTCAAGACATTATCCTTTCCATAAATCATCAAGAGAATAAAAGTAGCCAATGAAAATCCTCCTCCTTGCAAATGCCTGGTCAAGACATATATAATCTCAAAGGAAAAGGTAGACATTTGTATTACCCAACTTATTCTAGAAACATACAACATCCTTTAAACGATCTAAATAACACTGGTAAAAGAGTTCACCAAGAAACAGATCGACAACTCTGTTAGTGCAGGAAGATGAGGGATCCTTTTGAGACTTTGGCAGCTGTGGATGTCCAGCTCCTTCAAGGGAGATCCCTTCAAGCCCCCAAGGAGTGATTTCAATCTCGGGCATTCCGAAACAGACAAGGACATTAGATTTGGGAACACAGTAATATCCTCATCTCTACCAAATGACACCTCTTGCAAATTTGGCACTCCATGGAGCCGGCGGGACTCAAGCTTTGAAGAACACCGGTGTAGAGCCGCTCCCAAAAACCTCTGAGCCAAGGGGTACAACCGCTTCGGCAAACAAAGAAGAACACCGGTGTAGAGCCGCTCCCAAAAACCTCTGAGCCAAGGGGTACAACCGCTTCGGCAAACAAAATAGCGAGATATCTCAATTCAAGCAACAAAAACCTCTGAGCCAAGGGGTACAACCGCTTCGGCAAACAAAATAGCGAGATATCTCAATTCAAGCAACAAGCCAAGAGGAGGAAGCCACACGGCGTTTCCGCATCTATAAAGGTACAAACTCGTGAGATGGGGAAGGTGGAGAGAACCCAACGATGGTGGCTACATCATCCAACTTGGAAGCTGACGACCAAAGTATCCCACGATATCTAACTTTTCCAGGCATGGCGGTGGGGCTAGCTCCTCAAACACATCCTGAATTCTGCGGACCTCTCCTTCGCTGTACCCAGCAGCTGGTGGATCCTCCCATTCTTTTTTAGTGCAGGCCAATTTTAATTCCTTGGGATGACGTTTATTCCCAAGCACATGCCATCCCTTCTGTGCTACCACTGTCTCCTTTAAGTTATATATTTCCAGCACCCTCAGCTGCTCTAAAGGGTTCAAATCTTCCAAGCTGCAGCCTTGTCCCCCTCCTCCCACAACAAAGCCGTTGAAGTGTTTAACCGCTCTAATCTTCCCACTCCGGATGGTACAAAGGACAATTCAGTCATCTTGACTTCAATAATTCTTAAATTGCACAGCCGAGTAATGTCTTTGGGAAGACTGTGGAGTGACGAACACAAAATGAGATTTAGAACCAGAAGATTCATAAGGAACCTTAGCTCCACAAATATATCCAGCTTGCCGGAGTCAATAAGGAACCTTATGAATCTCCTGGTTCTAAATCTCATTTTGTGTTCATCACTCCACAGTCTTCCCAAAGGCATTACTCGGTTGTGCAATTTAAAAATTATTAAAGTCAAGATGACTGAACTGTCCTTTGTACCATCCGGAGTGGGAAGATTAGAGCGGTTAAACCACTTCAACGGCTTTGTTGTGGGAGGAGGGGGACAAGGCTGCAGCTTGGAAGATTTGAACCCTTTAGAGCAGCTGAGGGTGCTGGAAATATATAACTTAAAGGAGGCAGTGGTAGCACAGAAGGGACGACATGTGCTTGGGAATAAACGTCATCTCAAGGAATTAAAATTGGTCTGCACTAAAAAAAATGGGAGGATCCACCAGCTGCTGAGTACAGCGAAGGAGAGGTCCGCAGAATTTAGGATGTGTTTGAGGAGCTGGCCCCATCGCCATGCCTGGAAAAGTTAGATATCGTGGCATACCTTTATCGTCAGCTTCCAAGTTGGATAATGCAGCCACCATTGCTGGGTTCTCTTCTTCCCCATCTCACGAGTTTGTACCTTTATAGATGCGGAAACGCCGTGCAGCTTCCTCCTCTCGGCCTGTTGCCTGAATTGAGATATCTTGCTATTTTGTTTGCCGAAGCGCCTCGGGTCCAAAACGTGATAATTTGGAGCGTGACTCGGTCGGCAATGCAACCATACAGTTACATTCACGCCTCTGAATCATCCTGTATACAAATATATTACCAAAAGAACTACTACATAGAGCATGTAACTAAAATAGCAAAGGAACTAGATAGATAAAAAACACTCTGAAAAGATAAATTCTCTTACATGCCCAAAACTCTTCAAGTAGGAAAGAGAAAAATACATCTTAGTCTGGAGTACCACAAGTGATTACGAGGACTTAATAACTGAAGCTGGGAGAGTAAAGAGAGAGGAGGTGATCACTGTCGCTGGTCTTAATCTTTAAAGCACTCTTGGTCCTACGAAGGAAGAACAATTCCCAAGTCTGGGACATGCAAACCCCAGGGGAGTCAGAAAACTCCCAACAAGCATGTAAAATGAGGAAATTGTGCGCGTGTAAGCATAAGTGGTAGATATAAAGAAATGATAAATTCTAAATTTTCAGTGATAAAAAATGTCTATCTTATAAACCAAACTACGATGAAAAATTAATTAAAGATGATAAAGGAAAATTTCTAAACATGGATATCCATTTACATGTTAAAGGAAGTTTCTAAACATGGACATCAAACAAGGTCTACCATAAAGCACATACCTTATACGATACGCTAAAAGGAGGTAAGATTTAGAAACCCACAACATAGATGAGTACGTCGAGAGAATAATCCAAACAAGGAAACCCTCGTATATACCATATATCTCCTATTGTAAATCTCTAAATATTAACTCCCAAAATTCTATACACAACAAGACAAATATACCTCATCAAAACCTCATCCAGGACATGTCGTGCATGCCAAAACTATCACAAAGCATATAGGCACATTATTCTTATTTTACATGTTATTTGAATTAGAGAAGAATATTTTCATGTATATAAATCGGTTCCCCGTAAACCGTCCTGGGAACAAGGCTTCAAGTCAGGAATTGGCCATTTGGCCCATGTATATATAACTCAGGATATCAGGAATGCGCATATGCCCGTTTATATATATGTTATATTATCCGTCTAATTCCCCTTTAAAAGCCCCTTGTTTGTCAATTACCTTTTTTTGTGACTACGCATGAAATGTTATGCACTAACCACAGTATTACCGTGGAACGACTTCTGTAAAACTATGAAAATAACTATGACCCAGAACATGTCCAAATCAAGATAGTTGCATCGTCTAGTCGATGCTATAATAGTAATAGTCAATGGAAAATCTCATATCAGAATATCGATATCGAGAGCATAGCCATGCTATGAAAGCACGCTTATAAATCATATTTTTAAGCAGAAGTCTTCATGCATGATCTCTTCTATTGGATGAAGACTAGGTGATCACACAACAATTAATTTATGTCAAGATGAAGAAGAAAAATATTTCTGAGGCAATACTTTAGCAAAAATGTTACTTATTCACCACGCAACTAGCACATGAAATGACCATCATCGTAACCATCTCATGACATTAATGAACTAAAAGAATCAACCTTAACATACTAGGTCCACTCAAAGGATCTGGACAGTCAGCCATTTATATTCAGCTTAATTGTCAAGACTGAAACACACCTCATTTCCAAAGGAAAGGCTGAAACTTGCACCAGTTATGCAATCTCAGTACTGGATCATACAACAATACGTTCTTATTTTATCTAAATCACAGGGCTCCACAACAAATAAAACAGCTACTAAAAGGAATGGATGTTCAAGAGGGTTATATGAGCAATCGGCTTGGAATAACAACCAGTTGAGTCAAGAGATTATAACAGAGACTCACGGCAACTATAAGATACTCCGGAATACAATAGAGTACATTCATAACTAAAATGTGTGGAGCCTTCATGCACTAAAATAAAAACCGTACACCGTAAGTAATAGTGGGAGGAAAACTCCTTTAAAACAAATGAGCTTCTCAATTAATTGAGTAATCTTGTTTACCTCTACCTCTTTGTCTTCTACCTATTTTTATATAATAATAGCAAAGCCATCCAGGGTGGAAAACTATATTTTTCTCAGCATGTTGATATACAACCCATCTCTTCTATTTGTTCCCTTTCATATTCTATTTGATTACTTTTATCATACTTTTAGCATAGAACCTCTAAAAGAATTAAAGATAAGGGAATACTAAATTTCACAGATCAGGAATTTTTGTCTCCCAGCAGCCAATGAAGCAAAACTAGACACATGATTTTCTATGAAGAAATACTAGTGAATAGGGCCGGCCTCGAGGTTTGGGTTGCCCTAGCCCAATCCAATTTTGATTGCCCCTTATGTTAAAAATTTGGTACGAACAATTATCCCCGTTTTGAAAGTTTTTTTTAAACAATTGTGCCTCTGGGAAATGAATTATGGGAAGAAATTATCCCGACACAAGTTTAAAAAAAAGGGCATTTGTCAGTTAGAAAACCTTGCTGCTCTTGTAGTATGAGCTCTTTTAACAGCAGAGCAAAAACGTTAAAACTTTCTTCGAAGCGACAAAGAGTCTACCATAAAGAGAACAAAGGTACATTTGGTAAAGCATCACTACTCCAAGCATAAGATAAAGCTAAAGTGGTAACATTGACACATTTCACAAAGGCTAAATGACACTTAAATACCAGAAATTATCCCCGTTTTAGAACTTAGATACTATGAGTTCTTTTTTTGTGGCAAATAAACACCACAAGTTGTTCAAACTTGGCAGTTACTATCCTCAGGATCATGTAAACGTCAAAAATTTTAACTGAATGTTCCCTTGTGATTAAATTTATAACTTTCTAACCATTAATATTTGTTAAACTTATCACTAAACACATCCCAACTCTACTTTAAAGTAGAATTTAATTAAGTTTAAAAAAAGGAATTTTGTATAGATTCAAAAACAAATTTAAGTGTCTTTCCTTCCAAATAAATCCCTTCCAATTTTCTCAATCAAAGAACCAATCCTTATTCTTCTCCTTCTACTCAGAGCGGTCAAGCTCCCTTTTATAACTGAGCAGTCAGAAATCGAGCAGGAAACTCAGCCACTTCTCGTTCTCGGCATCCGCAAGCACAATAGAACCCAATCCTCATTCTCGGCCTCCAAATCAAGAACGAGGTCAAAGTTTGAAAACGGATTATAACCTACTAAACTTACCAAACACTTGCAGGACTATAATCCAAGTGGTATTACAATCCACAATTTCAAGTGGTATTACAATCTATAACTTCCAAACACGCTCTTAGCCTCTTCCGCATTCTACTCCTCCATTTTACCTTCTCCTATTTTCTCTTAATCAATATCCCCCGAACATAATACTTGGTCACATAAAATATCTAACTGAATTAGGTCACAAAACGATGGAAATAAATATAAAACTAGTTCTAATTGCACGTTGCCACATACATACATATATTAATATTAATAATAATAATAAAGAAACAAAAAAGGGGAAATTGAATCCTAGGCTCAATAATAATAAGGTAGGGCAGACATCTTTGGGTCCCTAGTTCGTGCCGGTAAAGCTAAGCAATCACCTCGATCGGATCCCAATTCCCTCACACAAAACACCCTCCACCAATTTTCTTTTTTGCAAATCAAATCGATGATAGTAAATAAACATGAATTAGGAGGGGGAAAATACAAAAATTCAATAGAAATCGATTCTCAAGATTTTTTTTCTTCTTCGTCACCTGATCGCTTGCGAGAGTTCCAGAGGGTCGCATGGGGTGGATGAGGCGGCGGCACTGCCTCCGACTCCGGCGAGGTCCCATGGGAGTATGTATGCCACCGGCGAGTTGCCCCCCGGCCCTAGGTTGCCCCAGCCCCGGGGCTTGGTGGGCTTACCCCAGGGCCGGCCCAGGGTCTTGGCTGGATCTGAGCTCGGAGCGGCGGATCTGGTCAGGGAGGCGACGGAGGGTGTCGGTCAAGGAAGAGGAGATGGGGCGGAGGAGTTTGGGGATGGGTTCATTTGAGAGAGATGAAGAGGAGAGAGGGATTTATTGGAGAGAGAGAAAGAGAGAATCTGATGATGAGGGTCAGCGTGGTTGGAAATAATAGAGGAGAGAGAGAACGAAGTCCGGACAGTTAATTTCTCCACATTTTTCAAAAGAGGGCATCCCCCCAGATCGACAACTCTCTTCAAGGGATCCTTAATTTCGAGACTTTGGCAGCTGTGGATGTCCAGCTCCTTCAAGGGAGATCCCTTCAGGCCCCAGGGGAGTGATTTCAATCTCGGGCATTCCGAAACAGACAAGGACATTAGATTTGGGAACACAGTAATATCCTTATCTCTATCAAATGACCACTTATTGGTCCTATATTTTGGGTCACTGTAGCAAAGTTCATAAGGTTACAAACTCGTGAGATGGTGAAAAAGAGAACCCAACGATGGTGGCTGCATCATCCAACTTGGAAGCCGACGACCAAAGTATCCCACGACATCTAACTTTTCCAGGCATGGCGGTGGGGCCAGCTCCTCAAACACATCCTGAATTCTGCGGACCTCTCCTTCGCTGTACTCAGCAGCTGGTGGATCCTCCCATTCTGCGGACCTCCTCCTCCGTCCGTAAGTGTCGGACGTAGAAGTTTCGTCGTGGCGGACACTGTAGTTAATTCCTGTGCTTCTCCACAAAAGCTTTCATCCTGTGACAGAAACCGAGCAAGTGACCGCAAGAGATCGTGCATTTTATAATAACCTCGCACTTCTTCATAGATACTAAGATGCCTTCTAACTAGCTCTTCGAAACACTCCCCGGCTAGTTCTAAGAAAGAATCCTTTGCGTTTCTGCAAATACTTCAGCTGCACAGTGTCGCACGAGCCCAGCACGAGGAAATCGAAAACCCTCAGGTAATAAAGAGCAATAAAGAAAACATTTTCTCAGAATCTTTAGGTAGCTTGCCCATAGATCCTTTCTCAGAACTTTTTCCCATTCCCTCGAATTTCTCCCTTTTGTTGTTAAAACACCGGCGATGCTCTTAATTGTCGGAGGGAGGCCATCACATTTTCCAACAATTTAAGCCCCTCCATCTCTCAGACCCTGCATTTCCTCCTCCTCTCCGGTGACATATAAGCTCTTGCAGAGCATTTCCCAAGCCAGATTCTGGCGGCAATTGTTCCATGGGATGGATGTGCACCTCCCCCATCTGCCAAGCAACAGCTCGGCGGCAATTGTTCCATGGGATGGATGTGCACCTCCCCCATCTGCCAAGCAACAGCTCCGCTCTGTAGTGGATTAAGTAGTAAACCACCCCAGACATCTGCTCGCCACACATCATCTAGCACCAAAACGAAAGTCTTTCCCGAAACCGCGCCCTTCAGAAGAGGTTCGAGTTCTGCTTTAGTTTGCAAATCACCATGAACTCCTCCTGCTCCGCTTATTATCTCCTTGAGCAAAGAGGTCTCTGAGTAATTTTGTGATATGTAGACCCATATCTTTGTTGAGAACTCAGACTCTACTATTGGGTGATTGAAGATATTTTTAGCCAGAGTAGTCTTCCCTATTCTGCCCATTCCGGTAACAACAAAGACTTGAAGTTTTCTTTCGTCTTTTTTAACTATACTCTCTACCAGATCGTTTGTAGCACGTTCAACGCCCCTCCCCACGATATCAGACGTATCTATGATAGACGAGGTCTGACGATCGAGGATCAACTGTGTGACTCGAGTATCTGGTTCACTCCTCACTAAGTTAAGGCCAGACATATCTCTAGATATCTCGTCCAATCTCTCATTTAGTTTCTTGATCATGTCACCAATCTCATGGCGGAGACGGATGCTAGTGAAGCAAGAGAATAAGCGAGGGTTGCTGCAACATATCGTTGATGAATCAGATGATGTAGACGTCTGGCCTTCAAGCGATTTCCCACCCTCGTGCCTGCATAGGTCAATTACGTCATCGGCATCGGACATGACATCTTTGAGCTCCCTCACCCACCCTGCAACGGACTCCGAATGGATGCGCTTTCTCTCAGCATCAAGAAGCACATGCTTGATCCTCTCCATCATCCGCTGCAGCCTCTTGAGCTCATCTTTCACGCCCAGGACAGTTACCACCTTCTCCTTAAGGTACATCAGCCACGTTGCTGACTATGGTTCCAGCTAAAGCATCCAGCACCATGGCTATCTCCTCAAGAAATTAAGAAGCAGGTATTGGAGATTTCAGAGAGTTCACGGCCAAATTTCTAGCTTACTTTTGTTTAATGAGGGTTGGGTACTTAGAGAAATGAATGAATGCACTCCATTATACAGGTTTTTATCATTTTCTATTCTCCCTCTCTCAATTATTGAGGTACAAGATCGGGTGAGAATATGTCCACTCGCTTTGCTACAAGTGGGAGGAACATAAGGTCTACGGGACCACAAAGTGTTTGACAAATTGTTACAACAGAATGAATAAAAGCTGGTGTTTCTTCCACCTAAACAAATACTTCAAAAACTAATAAAGCATGACAGGCCAAACAATGAGCTGCTCGATTTTTTTTCACGCTTTGTATGTGAAAAAAAAATGCAATGTCTAAACCTAATTATAAGATAGTTTCTGTTTTAAAAAATAATAATAGAAAGGTAGCTTTCATCGATTCGGTTTATTTTTAAAGGTGGTTTTCATGTACCCCCCACCCCCCCAAGATATTAATATACACATCCATAAGATGTGGATAAATACAATCTTTTGTACACCTCTAGTTAAGAGTCTAAGTGAATCAGGTGGATTTAGATTAGATATGTTTTTATTATTCTTGTTGCACGAGAAATGTTCTAATAGAAAGTATAGCCAGCTAATTCTTCAAGATGGCGATTTTGTATACTCTGAATGTTCACGAGAAATGTAGCCCAAATCAAAAGATAGCAAAATAAGCACCATTTATCAACTGGCTGGGCACCATTTATAGTAAACTTTTACCGAGAGCTTTAGATGGTAACAAAGTTCATTATACAGGCAGGAGGAAAAATCAATGAAGGAAGTAATTCTGAGAACGTATTTTGTCTAATTGAGATAATAAGAACAATCAACACAATGCTTGTTAAATCTATATTTGTGCTCAACAATGTTGTCTGCATATATACTTTTACTTGACGATACTGAGACCCTTTGTCTTCCTCATCTCCTTCTACTCTGCCCTTAACCGATAATGCAAAGCTCGCCTTTGCTTTGCTAAATGATTACGAGTGTTTGATTTTTGCACAGCTGGAACAAGAGCAGCAGGTAATTAGTCCAGGTGTTTCTCAGAATGCTGAACGAGCGAATTAGTTCAATCGCAAGTAAAAAATATGGACACACGCAAGAAACTCAATCTCTGCATAATATATAACAGTGCTTTAGATATGTAGGATACAACAAATTAGAAATATCATACAGTTAATGTGCTATATATATATATATCGACATTTAAACAGTCTTTGAGTTGATACCTTAGGTATGTATAGAATCACTTTTAAACTAGGTTTATATGGAAAAGTTCACCTAGATGGTTATGTGAACAATTTGTCATGCAGGATCTCATCTTTCTTTAATAAGAAGTACAAGCACGAGTAATCAAAGTGCAATTTCTCAAGAATCAGTTGCTTTTCACCAAAGGGTTATTTGTACGATTTTTTTTGATAAACAGGTAAATAATCTGAAACTAAAAATGTTAAAACTACACTGTCACATGCTACGAAAAGAATGCAAGCAAAAAGATAGAATGTTACATAAAACTTACTCAAATGTTTCTTTGATTTAAAACTGTCATTTTAAAGCTTTAACTAGTTTCTCAAAGTTCCAATCATCGGACGGACGCCCGCTTATATGAAGAGAAGTAACAAGTGACATAAAGTAATAAGTGAATTGACTTTCCAGAGTTTCATTGCCATACAATCAGAGGACAGGCTTTCAGCCTTTGAGGAAGAGGTGCACCCCATATTGGCCCTTACCCAATTAAACCTTAGGAGCTCGTAATTGATTCATACCAACTACACAGCTCTTCTACATGTATCAAGTTTATTTGCATTTTGTCAAAAGGAAAATAAAATCATATAATATGCTAACGCCCCAATTGTTTATGATGTCAAATTACAAAGTCATTTTCTGATATATAAAGTACTAAATCGGAAAATACTTAATCAAAATAGTTGTGCGTCTCATTCACTATAAGGATTGATAAAACATAGCTATATAGGATTAGTCAAGACATCATCCTTTCCATAAATCATCAAGAGAATAAAAGTAGCTATAGAAAATCCTTCTCCTTGCAAATGCCTGGTCAAGACATAATCACAAAGGAAAAGGTAGACATTTTGTATTACCCAACTTATTCTAGAAACATACAACATCATTTAAATGATCTAAACAACACTGGTAAAAGAGTTCACCAAGAAACATACACAAAGAAAAAGAGCACTTCTAGTGTTTAACATAATCTGCATTCTAAGACCACAATTTGAGTCAACAATCAACATGTTGCTATGTACCCTAGAAAGAAGAAGATGAAACTACTTTCTACATAATTTCACAATCTTTTTAAAATTCATTTGAGATGGCATTTACCTATAATTTAACTATCAGCGAATGAGTAGATGAGAGCACTAGTCATTGATGAATCTGCAGCTTCTTATTGACATGCATATTTCTCAACATCTTGAAACCTTAGCTTCCGCCCCGAACACTTGCAAGTCATAAGAGTCATCATGTTGATCAGCACTATAACTAGTTGTCCTCATTTTATAATTTTAAGAAAGAAAGCCCTTTGGAGAATGAGGAAAACCAAACAGAAGTGAAGAAAATACAAATCCTGAGTTCTTTTTCTAGAGGATATTCCAAAAACAAAAGAAAAATTAATTCCTCTGGAAGTAACGAGGACTTGGCAGGATAGACTGATAGAGTAAAGAAAAATAAAGAGATTTGGAAAGGGGGTCTACGCAAATGGTTTTTTTCTCAAAGATCGATGTATGAAGTTGAACACTGCAGAAAGAAAGGTAAAACGATAAATGTCAATTTTTCAGAATACTTACTTTAAAACCTCCGCTCTCTGTGCTGTCAGGCTGAAGGAGATTGAGAAGTGCATCAGATAACCATTCCAAAGGAAAAGAATAATCGATAAGGATTAAATAGTAGCCATCAAAAAGAACAAGGTTACCACGACTCAAAACAAGATGGAAGTTATCATGCTGCTGTCGCTCTTGCAGCAGCCTCAGCAGTCCCTCCGTGAGAAAATCCATCCCCCCTGGACGTATAACTAGCCTCTCCAATGAATCCAGTTAATTTCTCCACATTTTTCAAAAGAGGGCATCCCCCCAGATCGACAACTCTCTTAGTGCAGGAAGATGAGGGATCCTTTCGAGACTTTGGCAGCTGTGGATGTCCAGCTCCTTCAAGGGAGATCCCTTCAGACCCCCAAGGAGTGATTTCAATCTCGGGCATTCCGAAACAGACAAGGACATTAGATTTGGGAACACAGTAATATCCTCATCTCTACCAAATGACCCCTCTTGTGAATTTGGCACTCCATGGAGCCGGAGAGACTCAAGCTTTGGAAAGAACACCGGTGTAGAGCCGCTCCCAAAAACCTCTGAGCCAAGGGGTACAACCGCTTCGGCAAACAAAATAGCGAGATATCTCAATTCAAGCAACAGGCCAAGTGGTGGAAGCCGCACGGCGTTTCCGCATCTATAAAGGTACAAACTCATGAGATAGGGAAGGAGAGAACCCAGCGATGGTGGTTACATCATCCAACTTGGAAGCTGACGACCAAAGTATCCCACGATATCTAACTTTTCCAGGCATGGCGGTGGGGCCAGCTCCTCAAACACATCCTAAATTCTGCGGACCTCTCCTTCGCTGTACTCAACAGCTGGTGGATCCTCTTATTCCTTTTTAGTGCAGGCCAATTTTAATTTCTTGGGATGACGTTTATTCCCAAGCACATGTCGTCCTTTCTTTGCTATCACTGCCTCCTTTAAGTTATATATTTCCAGCACCCTCAACTGCTCTAAAGGGTTCAAATCTTCCAAGGACAAATTTTCAAAACCGACCCTTTGGGGTTTTTAATTGCAAAAAACGACCCATTTCACACTTATTTTTTCAAAAACCGACCTGTTTTCAGCCCCTGGGGTCGGTTTTTGTAAATATTTTCAAAACCGGTCGTTTTTTGCAAATAAAAACCCCAAGGGGTCGGTTTTGAAAATTTGTCCAATCTTCCAAGCTGCAGCCTTATCCCCCTCCTCCCACAACAAAGTCGTTGAAGTGGTTTAACCGCTCTAATCTTCCCACTCCGGATGGTACAAAGGACAGTTCAGTCATCTTGACTTTAATAATTCTTAAATTGCACAGCCGAGTAATGCCTTTGGGAAGACTGTGGAGTGACGAACACAAAATGAGATTTAGAACCAGGAAATTCATAAGGTTCCTTATTGACTCCGGCAAGCTGGATATATTTGTGGAGCTAAGATCCAAAAGCCTCAGGTGTATTAGATTTCCCACAGCATCTGGAATATTCTCAATCCCTGAATGTCCGTAAGTGTGTGTGTCACTTACGGACGAAGGAGGAGGGGGACTAGCACTCACCCCTCAATTTTTACTTTCGCAGAGGAGCTTAAGAATCTTGTTGTTCGTAAGAGCCCCTTAAGTCTTGGGAGCGACGTGTTTGTTGGATTTCCACTTCTCCGGGTACTGTCAATGAGGAATTCAGGGATTAAGAATATTCCAGATGCTGTGGGAAATCTAATACACCTGAGGCTTTTGGATCTTAGCTCCACAAATATATCCAGCTTGCTGGAGTCAATAAGGAACTTTATGAATCTCCTGGTTCTAAATCTCATTTTGTGTTCGTCACTCCACAGTCTTCCCAAAGGCATTACTCGGCTGTGCAATTTAAGAATTATTGAAGTCAAGATGACTGAACTGTCCTTTGTACCATCCGGAGTAGGAAGATTAGAGCGGTTAAACCACTTCAACGGCTTTGTTGTGGGAGGAGGGGGACAAGGCTGCAACTTGGAAGATTTGAACCCTTTAGAGCAGCTGAGGGTGCTGGAAATATATAGCTTAAAGGAGGCAGTGGTAGCATAGAAGGGACGGCATGTGCTTGGGAATAAACGTCATCCCAAGGAATTAAAATTGGCCTGCACTAAAAAAGAATGAGAGGATCCACCAGCTGCTGAGTACAGCGAAGGAGAGGTCCGCAGAATTCAGGATGTGTTTGAGGAGTTGGCCCCACCCCACCCTCATGCCTGGAAAAGTTAGATATCATGGGATACTTTGGTCGCCAGCTTCCAAGTTGGATGATGCAGCCACCATCGCTAGGTTCTCTTCTTCCCCATCTCACGAGTTTGTACCTTTATAGATGCGGAAACGTCGTGCGGCTTCCTCCTCCCGGCCTGTTGCATGAATTGAGATATCTTGCTATTTTGTTTGCCGAAGCGCCCCGAGTC